AATACCTTTTGCCTTCAGATTTAGGCCTATAAGGTGTGGAGAAAGAGCTGTCATTAATGCAGGCAGGAGCTTCCACATAAAGAGGATCACTTACAAGATTTCCGCAACTTATGAAAAGAACATCCTCCCAAACATAAACATCATTTTTATAAATATAATAATAATAATAATAAGGATCATAAGAATAATGTTGTGAAAACGTTGAGAAGTTAGAGGCGTCCCAGGAGTATTGAGGTATGGAGCAGCTCCCTTCCTGAAAACTAGCAGCAGCTACTCGAATTGTTTGATTGTCATAATTGATTGCTTTCACGTAGAATTTTCTTGATTGATCAGAGTACAATACTGTAAGGTTGTTCTCACAGAATAGAGTATATACTGGATCTGCAGTCATTCCGCAGGAATTAGGCGGATCTGTGTTTAATCTGAAAGGGTAGCTAATATTCGAATTATTTCCACAAGAAGAAGGTGGACAATAATGTTTATCTTTGGCACTGCAGGTCTCATGAATTAAGGCGAGAAGAAGAAGAAGAAGAAGAAGAGCGGCAAAGATGAGGCCTGGTCTAGGCATGGAGAGGGGCAAAAGGTGTCGATAACTTTCAGGTCTTTGAACAGAGTCTTGTGGTTTGAAGGAGAATTACAATAACTTTTTGGTCTTAAAACAACAACAAACGCACTCCACCTCCACAAATTTTTTTATTTAATTTTTTAAACTACGTAATTATGGGGGAAAGGATTACAGGCGTGGGGTAGCAATCCCATGTAGTTGGCCTCCACCTTCAAACATTTGATCACTAGATTTTAGATTATTATTATTATTATTTTATTTTTTTTGAATGCTGGCCCCAGGTAATTAATCAATTAAATTGAGACAGTAGTAGCTGGCCCCAGGTAACGAGTTTTCTTGATGGTTTCCCTTTTAGATGATGCTTAATTACCTTGCACCTAGACCTTCACTTTCTTGGTCATTTGCAGAGCATTGACTATAACAATCAACTTTAGAATTTTGGGTACAAATGGATACATCACTTGCCCCACCCACATTGCTTGAATTTTCTCTTTAACCTTCAAATAAGATAGGGGCAGGTCTGGTTCTGAGTTCTGATATCGAGAAGCATCTTGATGATGATGGTTTCTTGGGAGGTTTTGGGTATCGGTGTTCGGAAATTTGGAATGGGTCCTGTGAATTGATTTAGGGGGCAGATATTGCTTGGCAGGGGAATTCAAACACAAAAAAAATGAAGAAGCCGAGGAGTTTAGGTTTGGTGGATTTGTTCGGTAATTGGCAGAGTATTATTATGGTCTTTTTAATTTGTGATTTAAAGATATAAGTTAATAATTTTTTTTATTTTAATTATTATTAAAAAAATAAAAATTGATTTTTATTTAATTAGTAATTTAATTAAAATCGATGATGAATTAATGTCAGTTTTTATTATTTTTAATATTAATTAATGACAAAAAAAATTACACATTTAACTACAAAACTTATCATCATTATCATTATTGAATGGTTATCGGATGCAAATCCATTTGATATATGAAAAAAAAAAATTAAGAATGAGATAAGAGAAAATAATAAACTCACATAAATAAAACAGTATGCGCACCTTTTTTTAAGCACATGATCACAAAATAAACTTATAAAATGTGAGCCTTTTCAAAATAATACTAACTCTTTATTCAAAACTAATGTATGGTAATATAGTATTAAAAAGCTAGCAATAATCATAAAAGTAGCTTCATTAAAGTTAACATTTTTTTCTTTTCACCCCTCAAAAAAAAAGAAAAGAAAAGAAAAAAGCTTTATCAAAGTTCATGAAAGTAGCTTTATCAAAGTTACCTTTTTTTTCTTTTCACCAAAAAAACAAAAAAAACTTTATCAAAGTTCAATTGGAGACTATAGCTGCAAAATGTAATTAATGTTTTTTTTTAAAAAAAAAAATGGTATAAATCAATCCATAACTTCCCAATTTTGCTTGATTTTTCCACACGGTATCAGTTTTAAAGTCAAAGTCAACCACTGAATACAAAATTAGAGATGAAGGATCCTAGATCTTCCCAATTGCTTGACTTTTCTATGTGCTTTCTTTACACAATTTAAAAGTTAAAATCCCTAAATTCCCAAGAAAATCTACAAACTTAGCATATTTAAGGCCCAACGAAAATGGGCTAAAGTCCAGCCCTTATCTACAAACTACTTAATAAGGGCCCATCTATCCTAACTAGCCCATTACATCCCCATCTTGCCTTTACGCCTTGTTTGGATAGAAAATAGTAAAGGGAAGGGAAGGGAAGGGAATGGAGGAAAATAAAAGGAAATGGAGGGGGAGGAAAAGAAAGGGAAGGGAAGAAAACAGAAGGAAATGATTTGTGTTAATTTTGTTTGGATAAATAAAAATGAAGAAGGGGAAGGGAAGGAAAGGATTGTATTATTTTATGTTTGGATAATCAAAGTAAAAGAAAGGGAAGGAATGGAAAAATTTAAATTAATTTTAAATTTACAAATTTACCCTTTAAGCTTGTAATGGAGAAAGATATAATAAAAAAATTAAGGTTAATTTTGTAATTATATTTAACATAATCTAAACCGTCATTCAAATCCCTTCCAAATCCCCCAAATCGGACGGATTGTAAATCTGCAGATTTGAAGGTGGTTGAAGGGAGTTCGAATCAGTCCATCTCCCTCCCCTTCTGCCTCTTTGGAAACCCAAACAGGCAGAAGGAGACAGTCCTCCCTCACTCTCCCTCCCTTGCCATCCGTCCCCATCCCTTCCCCTCCCTCTCCGTCCGACACCTTCAATCCAAACAATACCTTAGGCTTTCAAGAAGTTGCTGACTGCTACAAGCTCCGTAATTGCAGCCAACTCAACTTTGCTGCTTCATTCATTCACTCCTCGCACTCTTAGCCTCTTTGGTTAGTTTCTAAGTGCAATCCTCCTCCACCAACAATATGAAGATCCAGTCTATGATTTCCTCCTGCCACCTTCATCCTCCACCATCTCCTCCATTTCCTTCTCCGATCTCAACATCACCGAGGTATGCATATTCCCCCCTCCCCAATCCTAATTATCTCATTTGAA